TTGCGCGTATTTGACGCCGTTGTTTTGGTGCATGCATGTGAGAAACACACGGCAGGGACGTCACTTTCCGCATGCGCATGTTGCTGTGAGCCGAGCGCCCTGGAACGTGGCTTATTTCGGTTCAAGTGGAAGTCATGCCTAAGCGAAGCATGCTTGCCGGCTGTGCGGTCAGACGGGACACCGTCAGGAGATGTGTCCGAGCATAGCTGGGCAGATCATCCGTGATCTGAAAGCTAAGCTTGGACAACGTGCTGGCAAAGCAGGGAAGGAGCGACGGCTGCGGCGTGTGCGCAAGGACGGCAAGCTGAAAGCACAGGCTACGCAGTCCTACAGTGGCAGTGCGCGGAAGGCGAAGCAGGCTTGCTGGGTGCGTCGTGGTGATGTCGAATCACTTCGACACCTTCTGAAAGACCCTGCGAAATGTCTTGACAAGCTTGTGGCAGATGACTTGTGTGAAAAGCCCAGATACTGCTCTCAATGTGGTTCTGGTGAAGTGCGGCGAAGCCAGTGCCAGAGAGGTGCCAGGAATGGACATTTCTTTGTGAGCTGCGCAAAATGCCGCAAATATACGAACTGCCTGTTCTACAGCCCCTTCCGCTACTCCAGGTCCACTGCTGCAGACATCGTTGAATTTCTGGACTGCTACCAGCGACAAAACTTGTTGTCACGGCCTGAGTCGTCACGGCAGAGGCCTCCTCATGGATCCGTGCTAATGCACAAGACATTCGTTTTGCCTTTGGATGTGGCAGACAATGACGAAGTTTTGAAGAGCTTGGACTGACTGGGAGACAGGTTGCTGCTGAAACACAGGGAGAGCAATGCTGATGAGTACAATGATGATACTGATACTGTGTATCACAAAGATGATGATGATGATGACGATGACGATGATGATGATGATATTGTGTATCACTGTAATGATGGTGATGATGGAGTATGATGATATTGTGTATCACTGTAATGATGGTGATGATGATGGTGATGGGAATGATTTGTATCCAGTATGTTGTTATGATGATGATGAGTATGATGGTATTGTGTATCATTGTGATGATGATGTTGATGGCGACGATGAACGTGTTTTGAATGTTACTGTTATGATGATGATGGTGATGAATATGATGATACTGAGTGCTACTGTTATGATGATGATGATGATGTTGATGAGTATGGTGATGTTGTTGAACATGCTCGCGATTGGCCCCCCCCACCCCGCCCCCCACCCCCCCACCCCAGGTCAATGATGATGTTGATGAGTATGATGATGTTGATGAGTATGATGATTATGATTGTATTTTAGGTCGTTAAGGCGCTCGGGTCTGCATGGTCCTTGTTTAAAGAGATAAAGACGTATAAACACGGAAATGCCGTAAATACCAGCATATCCAGGCCATGAATCAAAGTCGTGGAAGTCCTAAAAGCAGGAGCAGCATGGCGTCAAATATATACTAATCCCCTAGTAGTAGTAGTAGTAGTAGTAGTAGTAGTAGAAGAAGTAGTCGTCGTAGTGGTAGTGGTAGTGGTAGTGGTAGTAGTAGTAGTAGTAGTAGTAGTAGTAATAATAATAATAGTAGTAGAAGTAGTAGTAGAAGTAGTAGTAGTAGTAGTAGTAGTAGCAGCAGTAGTAGTAGAAGTAAAAGCAATGGCGGCAAAACTCAATGTAAGCGGACAGTGCTCCAAAATAGCATTGCTGGTACTACAGTAGGTGGCGGTGGTCCACTGCTACCGCGCCTGCTCGCACCCCTCCCACTGCGACTTCAATCACGAACCACGGCTGCAAACAAAAGTAGTTGATATCGATCCATCACGACAGTGATCACTACCACCAGCACTACCACCACCAGCAACACTGGCTAAACAGCAACAGCAACAACGCTCCACCAATCAAATTTGATGGAACGATTTCGTCTTGATCGCCTTGTAGGGCTTCATCGTCATCATCGTCTTCATATTATAGATATTGTGATTTTCAGCAGTGTCACCATCATCGCCAGTGTGGATGAGCATCAGCGCCAGCATCAACAAATTCACTCTGCTTCGCAGTATCATCGCCGCATCGACATGTGCTCGTGAATGCCGTCAGCTTTCATCCAAACTTCTTTTTGTCATGATCACCAATGGTCATCAACATGCGCATCATGGCCACCATCACAATCACGTGAAGGTGTTGCAAGGTCCTGATGGTGATGATGGCGACGACGATTACTGCTCATCATGATTATCGTCGCCATCTCCATTGTCATTTCCGCCTTCATCATCGCAGCATCGTGACACTCTTCCTACTCCTACTCCTCCTGCTCCTCCTCCTCCTCCTCTTCGAACCCATCGTCGTCGCCATCGTCGACACCGGTTCATCTTCTGATACTCACCAACCATTGAGAATCATAGCAATCATAACATAACCTTGTTTGCTAAGCCGCCATCGCGACGCTCGGGGGCTTAGGCAGAGTTGTTTAAAGGTGCTCCTGTCATTAAAGGAACCCCGATGTCGAATCCCAAGCACTTATCGTCGGCCTCGTTGCATTTGGGAGGACAGCGTGGGCGAACGTACCTCGAGAGTGAAGGGCTTCAGGCTGAGGCCTATGAGACATAGTGTAAAAGAATACAACATAACATAATGCAACCTTTCTTGAACATTGCAATGTAGAGGGATAAAATATAGCAGAGTACAGGACTGGAATAGAATCTGATGGAATAGAATAGAATAGAACCTAATGCGATATATATAGTTTTCTGCAAAGTAAGATTGAAATAACGTCATATATTATACCATGCTACACACTGCCATACCATACCATAAAGATTACAGCAGAATAAACCATATTGAAATATAAAATATGTAAGATAACATAGTACGACGTGATACGCATAACATGAAACAGCATGTCTAGTAACACGAAACAAAACCTGTAATGTAATACACGATGTCGCCTGTGACCGATTATAAAGACAACGCAATAAAAGACCTGATATATGACACCATATAGCATGACATAACATAACCGAGCATAACATACAACACAATATAGTACTATGCATTACGGTATTATACAAAAAAGTGTTAACATAATTCATACTGCCACATAAATGTAACCTAGAGCAAATAATAGATAGCATATACACTGTAACAAATAATGTATACTGTGATATTACATAGAGTCCAAACTATACAACAAGTTTTGTATTGTAGACAGTACGTAACATAACGTAAGATGTAGTGCATGTATACTATACCACAACAAAGTATAATGTAGTATACCACTACGATGTGACAAGACAACATAAATTCACAACATTCAGCTTATAGAATTTAACGAGTATAGTATGTAATAATATGGCATAATTTTTATATTTATATGTATATGATACAAACCAACATAACATAGCACAATATGAAGCAATAGATAACACAACATGGCAGTTGGGTGTCTGAATATCGGCTGAGCACAGAATTTCCGCTTCTTGCGGCTTTTCGTTAGAGCGAGTTGGAACAATCTCTCTGAACCCTAAACCCTGGCAGGCAAGCAAAGAACCATGTCGTAGTAGAAGCCTGCATCGCTAGCCGTGGTCTGAGCACTACCCCTTGCTTGCCACCACACCTGCCACCATACTGTTTCATAGTTCATTACCGGGCCATTGCCGTATATCATAGCAAACTTTTTGTATAGTTTATCGTTGTTTTTTGTCTTGTGGGTTGTCTTAAACTCGATTTAATTCGCTAACTATGTCTGACTTCGTACAAACCATGGTAGCACCATGTGAACCCTTGCAACACCGGCCCTTGGAGCCGCTTCTGCTGAGCCTTATAAGAAAGAACCCTTCTAGTAACCCCTCAAAGCTTGAACGTCCTCCGTAGATCGTCTGAGCTCCACAAATGTGTTGCTTAGGGGTCCTTATAGTTATAACACAATGTGATCCAAAACCCTCTTCTAGTTCGCGCCCTAACATTCATACCCTGTACATTCCCATTGTTGCCCCTGGTAGGAATCCATAAGGGTGCCGCGCTATACTAATTACTCGAATTCTTCAGGCCCCTCATGTAGGGGCCTACAGAATTACCAATACTATTTGGGGTTTCCGTTTAATTATTATAGTATAATGTTATAATGTATAATGGACCCTGAAACCCTATTCTAATGCGGGGTTCCTTTTCACTATAGTATAATGGGCCCTAAAACCCTATTCTAATTATTAAGGCCCCTATATGGGGGTTTCCGAAAATAGGGGACCCTAATATAGTACCCTAAATAATAGGATCCCTATTATAAGGACCCCCAAATAAGGTACCCCCTATTTTCGGAAACTCCTATATTACTGTCAACCACTGAGCTCCGGTGCAGCATCCAGTCGGGCTTGCAGGCGAAGCAGCTCCTTCAATCCAGGCGAACTCAGGGCTTGGGTGGCTTAGGTTTTTGGGTTTAGGTTTTAGATTGGTAGGGTTTAGGGTGTACGGTGTCGGGGCTTGGCAAAGCCTCCTAGTTCAAGACTAGAATCCGGAGATAACTCTGCAAAGTTACAGGATGTACTTGTAGTGGACAGTTTCTTCCTGTTAAAATTAAAACGTTCGGGCTTTTTGGCCCTGAGTGTGAGAATGTGAATCTGCCTATGCCAGTTCTTTCGACAGGGAATGCTGGACGCAGAGTGCGTTCATCGAGAAGAACTCTTGCATGTCGCCCAAGTTGTTTCAATCAGCAGCACACCCGGAAACCCAAACCCTAACCAAGCCAGAACAGACTACAGCTGTCGAGATAGATGTCCCTAGTCCACAACTAAAGTCCTAAACCTTATGCCCCGAACATCTCCCAAGAAAAATGATCCTCCTTTGCCCAAAACAAGCCTCCCAATAAGGTCTTCCGGATAAAAGCGCGCTTTCAGAGCTTGAGGCCTTCAGCTAGAAACGTCGGCGAGTTTCAGTCAGAAACTACGGGACCCTCTAGACTGAATGCCGGGATGCCTAACATAGCGACCGCCAAACAAAGTACCATGAGCTAGAGAAACTCCCTTTGAGACCTCGCTGAAATCTTATCAAGCACGAAAAGACCTATAACACCGTTGATGACACTATGGCACTGCAGCCCTATAATTGGGCTTCAACAGCTCTTTTCTAGCAACAAAAACCCAGGCTTTCAAGCCCAGCCGCATCCCTGCCGCGTAGGTCAGCAGCGCTGACCAGCAGCCCGCATGAAGCTGAAGGGCTTTAGGCTTTTTAGGGTTTAGGGTTTAGGGTTTAGTTCGCTATGAGAGACTTACAAGGGCTCACAAATGGCATTATAAGCTCTCAAATCAAATACTTCTGATAGCAGAAGAAAGGGCTTTATGGAATGGTTCAGGATTTTGGGGTAGTGGCTTTGCAGAGCATTTTGGGACTTGGAGTTGAGAACCTGCGCTTCGGGTCTTTAAGCAGCTCGTGTCTTTTGTCGTTTCGGTTTGGGTTTCGGGTTTAGGTTTAGGGTTAGGGTTTAGGGTTGAGGGTTTAGAGTTCAGGGTTGGGTTTAGGCAGCTTAGGATCCAGAGTTTAGGGTTTAGGGGTTCAGGGTTTTGAGTTTAGCTTAGGATCCAGAGCTTTCGCCCAGGATCTGGGGCTCAGGAATTTTCCGCAAAGGCTTGAAAGTGTGATGTCTTTCGGTTCGGAGAGTTCGGATGCTTTGTCCAGACGTTAAGTTTCAATGATTCCCCGCTTATACTCTCTCACTAGTGCCACCGATGTTGTGGCACTCATGCTTCTCTTGATCTTCTTCTTCTGCATTTGCTAGTCTGGTAATGGAAATGAATGGATTTGCCCGGTTATTCAGCTGCAATGTTGAAACCGCCTAAAACGAGGACTTCTGATTTGTGCCAAACCCGTTCGTCGCACGGCCGGCGCATGCCCCATACCAAGGGCAGCCACCCACCAAAATCGGGATCTCGTTTGAAGCCTGTGATGCTGACAAACCTTCGTTGGATTGTCTGCAACACAGAAGTTCGGTCCTGCAGTGGATCTCGATGCGCGGAGATGGTTTGGGCTGCAATGGGACGGGTGACCATGACAAAGTCTCCGCACCTAAATCCCAGCAACGCTCGAAAGTAGTGTCTTGTCTACCGCTCCGAAACTTCACGCCACCTACACCTCAATCTTGAAAATCATCCATAATGCAGGTGCCTCCGGCTGTAGCCTGAAGTCAGAAAATGCTTCTCGGATGGGCTTCATGAGTCCCGGTTCATGGGCAGGCGGCACAACACGCAAATGAGAGCCCCCGACACCCACAACGTCACGTTCCAGGCAATTTGCTTTGGCAAGGACCTACACATGTCGACGGTTCCATGACCAACGAGAGCAAACCAAAATAGGTCGGCAACCCTAAACCCTAAACCCTAAGCAAGAGAAGGTGAAGGATAAAGACAAGCCTTGGCACTTGGACGCTCACAACAAAAAGGCAGCTCCTCGACCCCAATCCGAATGTCGTCTCCTACCGCCGCAATCACATCCATCAAGTCCTGAGCCCAACAGCTTCTGCCAAGAAATCCCAATTTTCGCGGTCGCTACACGTTCGGATTTCCACAGACTCACGAAACCTCAAAACTACAACTGTGCAGCTGGGGAGCACAGGAGCAAACCCCTCCACAGCCGCAGCATACTGCTCCTGGAACCCAAAGCCCTAAACCCTAAACCCTTCCAGGGATCACGATATTTGGGACAGGATGGCGACTCGACCCTTCTTGTCTTAGGCTTTGTCTTCCTGCTTCAGGGGCCAGCAAGATTAGAGGAACCCTGCTACGAATAGAGTCATCGCGGAAGAAGAAGCTGCAGCAACGACAATGCTGACAGAAGTTTTAGTTTACCAGGAGCAGCATTGGCAGTGGGAGCCCGAATCCACGAACTCTAAATTCCCAGCCCCTGTCCGCACACCCTAAGCCCCTGCGCGACCCCGAACTCTGAAAGTCAAAGTCTGATCTCTCAACTGAAAACTAGACGTATCAGCTTGTCACGCTCGGGTCCTTCTCAAGGTCTGGCGCCTCCTTGTACTCGTTGGTCTCCATAACTTGCATCACCTTGGCGTGAAAGCGGTAAGAAGAGCGCGCGACCAACAGAAGCACAGTGCTTACTGATTTGCGGCTTGAAGCACCCACCATGTGTGGAAGGCAGACGAACGAATGCTAATCGTTCCCGGGTGCTACATGCTAAGATGCTGGCCTTCCCTCACACAGCTCTGAGGCTCTGGAGGGCCACGCAGCTTGTCGTAATGCCAGAGCAAGCTCATCACCGCCACGTAAGGCTTCAGACCAGAAGCTCTTTAGCAAGGAAGACAAGGTTCATGCGAGCTGATTGCTGTTGATTCTTTTGGAAGGGTACCGAAAGGAACAGCCGCTCGCTATCGCTGTTGGGCTGCTTGTGCATCTAAGCGGAAGGCACTAAACCCACTACTCTCAGGATTGGGTATTCAAGAAAATGCAAAGCTCGCCATCTTCCATCAAAAAGGCCGAAGGGAGGCAGACTGTTAAGAAAGACAGATGATGCCTGTTGCTGGGGCTTGGTTTTGGGTTGTACTTTTGCTAGTTTCCAGGCAACCCGCGACTCGAACAATCACTTGGGCTGGGTGTTGAACCAGTGGACTGCCAGCGATTGTATCAAGGGTCTAGGGTTTAACTTTAACCCTAAACCCTAACATGTGACCTGAGCTCCCTGCAGACTCCCGATGCTGGATCACGCGGACCAACTTGGACGGGAAGATGTGGTTTCCTCAGGTGCCCGGTCTCCGGTAGTCATAGAGTCTCTATCTTCATGCTTTTGGCGGAACTGCCGAAGCGACGCGATCCGTAATCCAACCAGGAACTGCGCTTGTCAAATGCTGCCTTAATCTTCTCCGAGGGGCTGAAGTAGTCGTAATGCATGCCTTGCACGGCCTCGAACCTCGGTTGATGTCGCCACGGGCCGGATCGGGAGCTCTTAAGTCTTTAAGTGCTCGTCACGGACGAAGGCGTCCCAGAACATCAGGCCCGGGAGATGAGGATTCTCAAATACGACCTGACCCCAGACCCCAAGTAGAACTCAGCCTCTGCACCATCGCAAAGTCGAGTTGCTTGGCGCTGCAGCACGATGCCTGAAGCAGCGAGTCATGCCGTCGCTAGGCCCCATCAGTGCCGTTTCTGGCATGAGGCATCTCGTTCAACACTAGAGACACAAACGCAGTTACCCAGTGCGCATTTCTTTCATCAACCTGAACACAGAAACTTCCTGCCGCTTTGCCGTCTCGAGGAATGAAGGGAAGTAGAAGCCACATCCGCCCAAACTCTATCCATCTCCTACAAAACCCCAGCATCGAACCTCAACAGGGCGATTTCATGGCGGCAGAAGGTGCAGATGGAGTGAGAATATGACCGACAAACCTATTGTCCCAACACTGTCATGCTCTGTTAAAGCAAACTACAGGTGGGGAGTTTAGGGTATATAGGGCTTCTATAAGGTATATAGACCTTCTGTAAGGCTCCTATAAGGGTAACTGCCCACCTGCAAATGTCCTAGACTCTGACTGTGCCAGGGCCCCGCAGGCTAAGACTCCCAAACCCCAAGTTCTGCACCTTCCAACGCCCAACAGCCCTAAGACCTCAGCCGTAAGCTTAACCTGCGAATCCTAAGCCCTAGACCCTAACTCCTAACCCCTAACCCCTAAACCCCTAGAGATCGAGAGATGGCAGGAGGAGCCTCTGAGTTGTAGGCCGGGCAGAACCGAAGGCCTTGCGATGCGCTGGGAGTTTTTTCTTCAGAGTTTCTTTTGTCAGCTTTAGTTTATGTAGGCTCCTTTGTAGTTTAGGGTGGTGAGTCTAGAGTTTATAGTCGGGCTTAGGGAGCAGAAGTTCGAGGGTTTAGGGTGTACGTGCTTTCCAGGACAGCAGGGGTTCAGGGTTAGGGTTCAGGGACGGCGCAATTGGTGTGACGCGAAATTCTCTTTCGGAGAGTTAACGGAACGCTGGACTTGGGGTTTGCGGACAAGCTCGCCAGGGCTTCAGGAGCCGACAGTACAGCTTCGCCTACGGTCATATTCCTAGTTTATGGTTGAGCACCCAGCTGCAATAACTGTAATCCTTGACACCCCCCCCCCCCCCCCACTGCGCCCTCAACGCCCTTCTCATCATGTTTAAACCGAACCTCCCCCCCCCAGTCCTGCTCTCGTCAAAAGCTTCGGAGCTGAAAGGGTTCGCTCGATGAATTCTGAGGCCGGTGCCGTTGTGCACCATCGGATCGCCTTGAGGCCGTGGGTCCAAGGCTAAGGTTCTACACAAGGTCGCCGTTCTTAAAGGGCTTCTAGGGCCCTCTGGGCATAGGGCCTGGGGCCTAGGGCTAGTATTCGGTGTTGGGTGGTCAGGCCTCCCCTGAAGTCCAGGCTTTGAGGGCAACACCTCCTCATGGAAGAGCATTACTTCCATGACCCAGTGCGTATGAGAGCAGGAATTTACGTGCTCATTGAAGTGAGCTGGTCTCAACCAAAGAGAATCTCTTGGCCGGCCGTGCGACCACCAACATTCCGAATATGGACCCTAGATGGTTACACTTGACGCGGCATGGCCGCCATACTCCCTGCATACTCGCAGTCGGAATATATATATATATATACATATATATATCTCAAAACTCGAACCCTGGCATCAATTAGCCAAAAATAACCTTGGCTTCTCTCTCGGCCGAGCAGCTGTTCAATGTGGGCAGGCGGCCTGTCGCCTGCGACAATGCGAGGATCAAAGCTCAAGACGCGAGATTGAAAGATCGTGTTCTGGGCCATTGAGAAATGAAAGCAAACTTAATACCCGTAGAACAGGCCCATAGATCGACAGAGTGTCTTTAGCATGATCACACGATCAGAATCATCCACTTTCCGGCTTCGATCGCGCCAGCATGTAGAAGGCCTGTGATTCCCGCTCGGTCTGAAAGTGGGTAGCTTTCTAAATTAAGGCCCCTTTTAGGGTCCGTTTTATAAGGGTGCCGTACTATATAAAAAGGGGCCCTAATTTAGACAACTACCCAAGTGATAAATGGCAAGTGGAAGCCCGTCAACTCGCAGGAAAAAGCCAGCTCAAAGATGCTGAACGTACTAATGTCCCGCGGGTACTTCGCAACTACAACTTGGCAGAGGTACCCAACATGCTCAATGCTGGGTTTCTGCGCCAGATTTCTCCAACTTCACCACCTCCCCCTGCAGATGGACAAGAACCATTCGGGACAACCACAGCCCCGAAGATGCCTACAACTACTCAAACCCTGCACCCTTCCCCCAAAACCCTGCACCCCCAATGTACAAGCCTTAATCATTAGAATCGGGTTTTGGGGTATACTATACTACAACTAGAATCAAGAACCCCCCGAAATAGTATAGGTAATTATTTGGGCTCCTATAGTAAACAGCTCTCCGACAGGTCCCGGAAGGCTTCGCCGGGCCTCCACCGAGGCAGAGCCAAACTCCCCGAACCAATGCCTTAGGGTTGGGCAGTGAAGAGGTTTAGGGTTTAGGGGCGTTTAGGGTTTAGGGTTTAGGATTTAGGATTTAGGGGGGGTTGAGGGGGTTTAGGGTTTAGGGTTTAGGGGGGTCTAGGGTTTAGGGTTTAGGGGGGTTTAGGGTTTAGGGTTTAGGGGATTCAGAATTAGGGCCTAATGTAGGAGGGTTCCTTTAAAGGGTTACTCCAAGGGCAATCATAGGGTTACCATATGGCTTTAGTGTAGGGGCCTTAATAATTAGAATAGGGTTTTGGGGTTTATTCTACTATATATATAATAAGGAGCCACCAGAATAGTAGAGGTAACTATTAAGGCCCTATATTAATTAGGGTTTAGGGTTGAGGGCTCGAGGTACCTGGATGACTTCATCAAAAACACGAGCTCACTCAACTTAAACATGCCCGAAAGCGGCGAATCCGTAACCAGCTTGGACAAGTAAACCTGAACTGCATAGCATGCAGGCACCATGGCTCGCAATGGGACATGCTCTCTCTGTCGGAAATTAGATTTGTGGCATCTGGGCATGGGGCAGAAGGAACCCAGAATCTAGGAAGCCAGGAGTGGCTTCAACATGTCACACAGACCCGAAATCAGAAAACTACCAGTCACTGCGGCTGAAGCACGCCTTGAACAAGGGGTTGTGGCACTGGGGATCCAGAGCATGGGCGGCCAGCAACAGCGGAATCACAGCCCGGCACTGCATAGCAACACCCCCACCCGCTTTGGAGTCTTGGGCGTGGATCTGTGCATGCCGCTTTGGGCAGGCTCAGCTATGCGTATGTGAATATTTCCCTGGGTCTAGCCACCTTTCAGGGAGTCCGGAAGGCTACCTGGCTGTAACTGCACCATTATGAGATGGCGAGCTTTGTCTGGTCGCTGCTGTTACTTGAAGTCGATCCATAGGAGGAAAGTCAAGTTGCAGAGAAAGGCTCAGGGAGTGAGTCGTGAACGGGTGCTACTGCTTCGCGTGACTGACGTTCCGGCTGATGAGCCAAAGCTCCAAAGCAAGCTGAAACCTTGCAACCCTACACATCCCAGCAGAGCCATCTGCATTTTCGCTACTCGAGAAGTTCTCAAGCCAACACGATAGTTCCTAGGCCTGGCACAAGGCAGGGCACACGAAGGTACACAGCTAGTTACGTCGGTTCATCATCAGCTGACACGGCCAAGTCGCCTGTTTTCAAGAGCAAGAGAGCCGTGACTCATCATGCACGACGAGCAGTCAACTAGCTAACATCCCACGGGTGGCAACATCAGGCATCAAGAGTTGCAAAATCCTCTCAGGCGTTGAGTTGGACTCGTCTCTTTCTCTATGGATCATTCGAACGGGCTCAGCTCAGCAACCAATCGAGTGCGCTAAACTGTCTAGAAGAGAGGGCATCGTCTAACGGCTGAAGCATGCTGTGGGCGACTGGACATTGGACCATGCTCCCGAAGTCGCGACGGATGCATCTCGAAGCATGCCTTCGGTGTCTAACATTGCAACAAATCCTTTCATAGTTCCGGCAAGATTACATCGACACAGCATCCAGAAATGCTGGTCCTTCTTTTTTTGTGGTCTTTTGTGATCATGTGTTGCTGGACTATGCAGGGCACCCCTGTGCTTAAGAAGTCAAGGAAGAAAGCACCGGCACTGATCACCTCCTACTACATGTCCTACCCCTTCCAAGACCAAAGTCCCCTTGGGTAATATAGAGGCCTTAATAATTAGAATAGGGTTTTGGGGGTCCTTTATAGTAGAAGTATACTATGGAGCCCCCAAAATAACGTAGGTCATTATTGAAAATAATGTAGATAATTGAGGCCCCTATATTGAACTATTCCTACCCACGTCTCTTCTCGAACGGCATCCTGTTTTCCTCCTCCCGTCTTAGAGCACTGCGGGTCGAAGCCTCCGGCCGAGGACTTCGTAGCAGGGACTGCTTGGAGGTTCATGGGTAGTTATAAATGGGGTTATAAGTCCTCTAATAAATGGGGTTATAAGTCCTCTAATAAATGGGGTTATAGGTCCTCTAATAAATGGGGTTATAAGTCCTCTAATAAATGGGGTTATAAGTCCTCTAATAAATGGGGTTATAAGTCCTCTAATCAATGGGGTTATAAGTCCTCTAATACGGGTTATAAGTGTAGTTACTCTACTTGTAACTCCACTTGTAACTACCCCTGAACCTCCAAGTGGAGCTCATGAGCAGGCCAAGGGCTTAGACAAACCTGCAACCCGACATCCCGAATATAGGCAAGAGCACTTCTAATTCTTCATAGGCTTGCCCGTTCCACATGGAGCCCTAGTCACAGGCCCAAGCGGATCTTCAGATGACCGCATCTGCCATCCTCAGAAAGCACGGAGAGCGTTGCAAGTGGATTCGGGCTTTCGGTTGCTGGATGTGGGGGTCTGGATGGTTCGCTGCGGCGGTTTGTTTGCAGGGTGGGCACTGCTCTTCCATTGGTTCTTGCCTCGAAAGCCAAAAGCGGGATCTTACGTCGGGCAGCTTCTTGGCGGAAGAGGGTCTCGGTCGTAAGGAGCCCAAGAACTCGGAGCTTCGGAGGCCTACCATCAAAGCTTCGCTTCTGCTGCTCTGATCGGTACCTTGACCAGAAGTTCAGCTCTAGACTCCCAGAGTGGAGGAATATGAAGCCGAGCTCAAGTCTAAGGGATTTCCGGGGCGAGACCGTCGTTTTCGGAGAACCCTCGAACTGGGCAGGCTGACTTCATGCTTACGACAGCCTTCCTTCTGACCTAAAAGCCGTCAGTCCTAGGTCAGACCGTCCCAAGGGATTTGGTACAAACCCTAAACCCTAAACCCTAAACCAACATGGCGGTGCAGCTTTTCCAAAATTGCTCCCTTCGCTCAGCCCGCAGCGAGGCACTCAGGGAAATGCGGACGACCTTGCCTCAGTCTTGTGGTCCTACAGGGGGTCGAGGGAAATAGGGTTTAGGGTTTAGGGTTTAGGGTAGTCAACAGGAGGGATCATGAATGTAGGGTTTAAAAAGACAAGAATCAGCAGCGCTAAGCCCAAGATCTGAGGCAACTCGCAGAACATGCAGCTAGTAATGGTGTTCCTTACCATGGTTGTAGCAACTGCAGCAGCAGCAAGCAGCGGGTGTGTGCAGAGTGGTAACTTGGATGGTTGCCGTAGCTGCAGCCGTTCAGGAAGTAGCAGCGGCTCTTGAACAAGCCGGGCAGCACTGACAGCAGTCGCAGCCATCGCAGCTGGTAGCTAGTAGCGGAACACTACTACTGGACTCGATATATGCTTGGGGGTCTACCGCTCAGTGTGTTGATAAGGGACAAGGTGACCTCAATACTGAGCTCAAATCAAACCCGTGACCGCAGTAGCCAAGGCAACTCTAATCCGTACGTCCTCGTAAGCCAGATCGTACTACTGAGAGAACTTGGTGCGTGACCATCCGATCCACCCACCGCCAGCGCATCTTTCGCCAACCACGCCTGAAAGGCAAGGCAAGGACACAAAGCAGGTTGACAACTTTCCCGAAACTTTCCCGGAGTCATTACGACATCGCAGGGGCACTTGCGCGCTGATGATGAAGACTGGAGCGAGGTGGGTGGTGCGTGATGCCGATCAGGGCAGCAGTGCTGGTGGCAAGCGAGATGACTGTAAGCCGTTGGTAACCGATCTGCAAGCCCCAAAGCTTCCTGAGCACAACAGAAAGCGCTCTAGGCTCTAAGCAGTTACCTCTCGCGAGGACCTCCAGCATCTGCGCTCAGGAATGCACTGGCATTGTGGAATTGGTGCCCTTTGGCAAGAAGCCCCGACTCTTCGAGGTTCCAAGCTTTCCTTCACGTATGGCATGATGAGTATATTATAAACTTGAGCGGCAACTATGGGAGAGCTTGCGACTTCACACCTGGACATAGACCAATCGAACTCAAGCTGAGCACGCAGCCACGCAGAGCAGCTTGTTCGGTGTTGGCACCTGCTTGCCCACCTGAGGCTGGTGAGTTGAGCAGGCTCCGTCCCTGATGTCCAGAAGTTCACAACTGAGCAAGAAGTCCAGATGGTGAAGAACCGGAAAGGGGCAGTTCAACTGGTCGGGGTATGCCGATCATGACATGCACAATTGAGCTGAGGAAGGACAAAATTTGATTTGGCCTTGAAAGGCGTAGACATCCCAGCTCCTTCCTCCTCCTACTGGCACTAATGCTAGTGCTGCTGCTGCTCCTCCTCGTCCCACCATCACCACCACGATTCTGCGATTTGCGCCGGAAAGTCTGCGAGTGGGAAGCCCCTATCTCGCTCAAACGAAGAGTTGCAGCCGAATGCCTTCAACCCCTGACGGTGGTGACCCCTCGGATCCCTGCCGGAACGGATTGCAACGGCAGCTTCAGAGAACGCGGATCTATGATGCACCTCGGCAGTGAACTAGTGACCACTGAGCTATCGAGCTCAAAGGGGATCAGGAGCTTCAGGGCTACTGTCCACGCTTGCACCGAGCCGGGTAACTACTTCGTGTACAGTCACTGGACATCACTGTTTGTTGAAGACCTGAGAAGTCTATGCCAACCCCAAGCATTTGATCATAGATCGAGACCCCCTCTACATACACCCCTGAACCCTGGTCCCCCAGCTCAAAACCCTGAACTTCGAAGTTTCGCCAACAGCGACAGATCTCCCAAACCGCAGCGAAACTGAGCTTGCAGGGTAACTGCATCTAAGATGGGCGATACCGATCCTAATCCCTACGGCCCTACATGGATTACTTGGAGGTTCATGGGTA